ATTTGTATTTCTAATTAGATTAAAGCCCCCGGGGAGCCGGTCGGCCGAGCGGACAGCACGCTGGACTTGTGATCCTGTGGTCCTGGGTTCGATCCCAGGCGCCGGCGAGAAACAATGGGCAGAGTTTCTTTCACCCTATGCCCCTGTTACCTAGCAGTAAAATAGGTACCTGGGTGTTAGTCAGCTGTCACGGGCTGCTTCCTGGGGGTGGAGGCCTGGTCGAAGACCGGGCCGCGGGGACACTAAAGCCCCGAAATCATCTCAAGATAACCTCAAGATAAAGCGAACGACCTGAAACTGGTGGATTATTTTTTTATAGGATTATATAACTAGATGGAAGAGAAGATGAACAAGATTAAATAGACCATATGCAGGCGAGGAGTCACAATAACGGGGCTACAGTATGTTGACCAGACCACACACTAGAAGGTGAAGGGACGACCACGTTTCGGTCCGTCCTGGACCATTCTCAAGTCGATTGTGACTTGAGAATGGTCCAGGACGGACCGAAACGTGGTCGTCCCTTCACCTTCTAGTGTGTGGTCTGGTCAACAAAATAGACCATGTTCCACTCAGGCTTACAATAGTGCCCACACTAGGTTAGGCTACCTTGAGGCTACCTTGAGGTGCTTCCGGGGCTTAGTGTCCCCGCGGCCCGGTCGTCGACCAGGCCTCAGGTTAATACAAGATAATTTATGTTTCACATTTATATTAAAAATATATAACATATAAACAGAAAAGTGCTTTCTGTTGATGGTTGTAAAGGCATGTAAGTGTTTGTAATGACTTGAGTGTATTAGACAATCAGCTTTCTTAAAGGATATCTATTCTAATCTAATAAAGATATTCAATGTATACACAGAATTTGCTAAGGAATTTGATAAATGTGATTATGGGGAGGTGTGATTAGGGTCCTGACAGCTGAGTGGACAGCGCTTCGGATTCGTAGTCCTGAGGTTCCAGGTTCTATCCCCGGTGGAGGTGGAAACAAATGGGCTGAGTTTTTTTTCCATCCTGATGCCCCTGTTACCTAGCAGTAAATAGGTACCTGGGAGTTAGACGGCTGCCACGGGCTGATTCCTGAGGGGTAACAAAAATGGAGTCCTGGTCGAGGACCGGGCCGCGGGGACGCTAAGCCCCGAAATCATCTCAAGATGGGGGCGATAGTCCACAAACAAGTCAGTAGGAATATCAGGTAAAGTAGGGCGATGGAAATTAAATTGTCTGTCAAACAGAATGCAAATAGTAACAGTCAAATCAAATCGAGTCCAAGCGCAGTTAAGAGCTCTGGGGCCAGATTCACGAAAGCACTTACGCAAATACTTACGAACGTGTACATCTTTCCTCAATATTTGACGGCTTTGGTTACATTTATTAAACAGTTTACAAGCGTGAAAACTTGCCATTCAACTGTTGTTATTGTTATAAACAGCCTCCTGGTGCTTCGGAGCTCATTAACTGTTTAATAATTGTAAACAAAGTCGCCAAAGATTGAGAAAAGATGAACAGGTTCGTAAGTGCTGGCGTAACTGCTTCGTGAATCTGGCCCCTGTACCTCAAGGTACAGTCCTTGCACCAAGAATCACTATTTAATCCAATTCCAATTGTTTAGCCTAATCTAATAAATATCCATTCTAGCTGAAGCTTAAGATACAAGGCGGACTAATTATCGTTGAAACAATCATAAATTGGAGACAAATTAAAGCAGATATAAATAGGTCATTGTGTAGAACATTGAGGATCACTTTCTAAACCCATTACGTGATTTTAATCTTTCAGACACCTCCCGCCAGATGGGTCTGTACTGAACTTGTTCAAACTGAACTCAGAAAAGCGTCCTAAGATTACTCACAAAGTGGTATATATGGAAATGTATTGTAGATGTGTGTAGGCCTGGAGTGGTTGTAGGAGTCCGCTGACAGGTTGTATAGGAGGGGGTGAGGTTGTTGTTGTAATAATGGTTGGTGTGAGGGTTAGCAGTTGTGGAGAGGCAGCCTAGCCTCGAGTGGTGTGTTGTGGTGGCTAGTGCTGCTATGTTGCTATTCCCGTCCTCAGCACCTAGCTAGCCACCGTCTCCCAGCACCTAGTCACCGTCCCACACCTTCCCCCAGCACCTAGCCACCGTCTCCCAGCACCTAGTCACCGTCCCACACCTTCCCCCAGCACCTAGCCACCGTCCCACACCTCCCCCAGCACCTAGCCACCGTCCCACACCTTCCCCAGCACCTAGCCACCGTCCCACACGTTCCCCCAGCACCTAGCCACCGTCCCACACCTTCCCCAGCACCTAGCCACCGCCCCACACCTTCGGATAAGGAGACAAGTACAACAGTTCCTTCCCGAAATCATCTCAAGATAACCTCAAGATAACGTTGGCGTACGTTATAGACTGAAGGAGAGGGACTTGAACGAAGCAAGACGGTTGGCCCTGGTATAGTTGCAAGGGTAGAAGTTGATTAGGGTAGTTGCGTTTGAGTGAGAAGGTTGTGTTGGGGTGATGGGGGGAGGAGGTACTGGACCTAGAAGGCCAATAGTCCCGTTAGTGTGGTTAGTGACCGCGTTCCAGGCCCCCCCAAGACCCCCTCGGCCCCCCCTTACCCGTTGGTCCAGCTCCTTAAACCCCCCCTTAACCACCACCCCCACCAAACTCCCCCATTGTTGCAGCTCTAGTAGCTATGGAGACCATACTATACGTCAGAAAAGGAGACGACGACGTTTCGGTCCGTCCTGGATCATTATCAAGTCTATTGTGTCGATTTGACTTTCGGCCCAAGGCTGAAACGTTGTCGTTGACATTGTCATGGTTTCTAGTAAAACAATGAATCGTATTGCGATTCATTGTTTGTCTCTAGTACCTGTGTTGCGAGTACCTGTACTCTCTTATGATGAGTTGTTCCTAAGTACTTGCGTAACTGCTTCATGAATCTGGCCCCCAGTTCGTAAGTACTTGCGTAACTGCTTAGTGAATCTGGCCCCCAGTTCGTAAGTACTTGCGTAACTGCTTCGTGAATCTGGCCCCAGTTCGCAAGTACTTGCGTAACTGCTTAGTGAATCTGGCCCCCAGTTCGTAAGTACTTGCGTAACTGCTTCGTGAATCTGACCCCAGTTCGTAAGTACTTGCGTAACTGCTTCGTGAATCTGGCCCCAGTTCGTAAGTACTTGCGTAACTGCTTCGTGAATCTGGCCCCAGTTCGTAAATACTTGCGTAACTGCTTCGTGAATCTGGCCCCAGTTCGTAAGTACTTCCGTAACTGCTTCGTGAATCTGGCCCCACTGGTGGCCACCGAATTTGTCCGCAAAGCAGACATTCGTTATAGATCTTTATGGTAGCTAAACACTCCCAAAGTTCACGCCAACATTGTGGGCTAGTTCCAGAAGCCAATGTATAACTGTAACCTTTAATTATTACTTTTTAAGCTTTCCCTGAAGGGATAGTTTGTGAGCATGGCACGCCGCAGTGAGTCCAGTTCGTCCGTGCTAAGATTTACCAACGTGAAGACAGCGGTCAGTTTAAAGTAGTCTCTCCTAACCTTCCAGAGGACCCAAAACAGAAAACGGGTCGGTACGGCACTTCGCCAGATGCTTTTATTTTCTAGTACGACAATTTTTTGACCGTATGTGACGCCTACGAGCGAAAAGCGACGTTCTACATATATGGACAGGTCAACATATCGCCATAGTGTGTACAACCAACCTGTCCTACTATATATATATATATATATATATATATATATATATATATATATATATATATATATATATATATATATATATATATATATATATATATATATATATATGTGTGTGTGTGTATATTACGAAAATAAACACGTGATTAAAAATGTGACAGTGTCAGACCACAGAGGAAAATTGAAACAGGAATTTCCTTAAGTACTTTCGTATATTAGTACATCTTCAGAAGGAGTAATTAATACATCTTCACTCCTTCTGAAGATGTATTAATGTACGAAAGTACTTAAGGAAATTCCTGTTTCAAACTTCCTCTGTGGTCTGACACTGTCATATATATATATATTATAGTATATATATCTCACATAGAGGTATATATATGTCGCTGGTGGTTCTTGAACATGTTGGTAAAGGCACTAGTCTCTAGGATATAAAAATGTAATACATTGTATAAGCTGGATGGGCAGAGGAGGATGATGGGTAGCGAGGCAGGTGGTGGTGGTGACTTCAAGGCCACCCAGTATACTCCATTGGCCTCTCATACACAAGTATACTTAGTCCTTGTATTGCATACAGTAACGTACAGTGGCATTAGGACGTGTATATACCGGTGGTCAAGATGTTCATTCAAGCAAAGCCACTGACAAGCAGCATAGCTTGTTGGGACAGATATGCCAGTTTAATGACACTATCTATCAGCGTGCCTGTATGCTGATAGCCTTGATGTCTATCGGGGGGTAACATATACAAATCTCAATACAAAACTTGATATGTTTTGACTAATAATATATTTTTTTTGCATAGTACATCTTGTCCCATAGTCCCCAAGCGAGAATCAGTCTTGAGTGTTGATATATTATGATATCGTTATTCATATGTTGATATCCTCAGTCCCCAGTGCCTTATACACTTAGTCTCCCCCCCCCTGGTAGTTAGCATGTTAAGGGGTTGCATCTTGGGAAGGGTCATTAGTTCACCCTTAGGGGGGGGGGGCTCAATATTGGGTTTGCAACAAAGACAGGTTAATATGGGAAAACAACCCAACTGATGAATGCCATACCTGAGACACGCAGATTACAAGTACTGGTTTGAGATATGTTGTATCTGCATACATTGTATATACTGTACAGTATCTGAATCACAGAAATAGTGATGGTTATTGAAATTTTGATGAAAGGAATGATATGAATACTGTAATATCAACATGTTAGGCATATAAAAGCAGATGATATGGATTTACTTTAAGGAACAAACGGGTGTTGGTGAGGTATGCGACAAAAACCTAAAATTAAACATTTCAACTTTTCCAGGAGAGTCGTACAGGCGGTGAGAGTGAGGGCGAGGGGGACCTTGAGGATGTAGTCTCTCCACCTCTGGAAGATGCTCCTCCACAGCAGGAGGATGCTCCGCCACATCCAGCTCGTCGCCCCATGAATGCCTTCCTCATCTTTTGCAAAAGACATCGAGCTCAGGTGCGTTCAACAAGACAAATTTTAAAACGGGTTTCCACAAGTTGTTCTTTGCATTTGTGACTTCTGTTGTCTTGCCTCCCTTATTCTGGATTTTCTTATGTGCTATTGTCTTTTTGCCCATTGGATGAGCAAATACCACCCGTAGAACTTTACATTTATGTGGTTTTTAATTTTTTCTTCAATCCACATCACTCCTCCTTCTCGTAAAATATTATTGTAAATTAGGTGCCGCTTGTATGCTGGAAAATACAATATTTGAAAATGAGTAAGTTATGAATAGATAAACTACATTTCATACATTTTGTCTTCAGGTACGGGAGAAATACCCACACTTGGAAAACCGGCAGGTGACAAAAATTTTAGGGGAGTGGTGGGCGGACCTTCCAGCTCATCAGAAGACATCCTATACTGAGTTGGCAAGGCAGTACAAAGAGGCCTTCCTGCGTGCCAACCCAGATTTCAAGTGGTACAAGATCCCTGCACAGCCCCCACGACCACCTCCTGCAAGACCTTCGAATCAGAAGGTCCCGAGGTGCAATCCTCTTCCTACAGATGGTGCCATCACATTTGGAAAGCTTGCTGGTACTATAACATTGATTTTGTTTACCTTCTTGTTGTCTATTTTCATAGCAGTTTGTCCAAAAATGTATAAGGATACTTAATGCCATTATTTCAAGATTAAAAGTAATATTAAACAAGATATGATTTGATGGCAATTACTTTTAAGTGTTGAATAGATAAACTGGATTATACAGTGTTTGTTACCAGATCTAGATTTTTTAGAAATCTAAATTTCAGAGGGCAAGCCCTGTGTGCAGATTTTTAAAGAAGCTCTGTATATAATAATAAGAAGAATTGTCTAAGCAAGCACCAAGATATGAATTGTTAGTTAGGCGGAAACAAATCTAGCTTGTGATATGAATATTTCTCATTCTTTACAGATGAAGCTCAGATGGGTGGTCTAAGTACTCTCCTGTCAACAGCCTCCAACAGCAGTGGGAGCAGCAGTAGTACCAGTAATACCAACAGTATTGGTAGTGGGTCATCTAGCCTCACCACCTTCACCACTGCCTATGTGTCGGCAGCAAACACCTCGGCAGCTCGCTCATCTCCTATTGGTTCCTCGCCAAGTGTGACTTCACTTGGCACATTTACAAATGCCAATTCTACAAGCATCTCAATGAGTACAAACACAATTGCTACCACAAATTTATCGTCGTGGAGTGGAACATTGCAGCGTCTCGGTCCGGGACCCGCCACTGCACATGATACCACCAGTACGAATACCTTCTACAACGGTCCCAAGCCTAACTCTGCAAACACCGCACCAGTCAGCCCCAGGGTGGCTGTTAGTGCAACCCCTCCGCAAGTTGAAAGTGCCACTAGTATGACTCCTCCCAAACCCCCTAAGAAGAGGTATCTGCACGAGAACCTGCTGCAAGCTCAGCAGACATCCACAGTACCTACGCCGGCACACACCCCACCTGACACCGACAAACAAAAGGCGTGTTCGTCTTGGACTGAACACTCTCAGGTAGCTAGGTGAATTATAGTAAATTAGTTGCCACATAAATATAGTATTACTGTATCAGTCATTTGTGCACGTTTATAAGTTATTAGTGCAGATAAAAATACTTTAATACTTCATTAGTCATTGGTACACGTAAAAATATTTTAATGCTTCATTAGTCATCGATGCATGTAAAATACACTATTTTAATATTTGGCTACTGTCTAATGTTTAACTACAGCTGTATTAACTGATTACTTTTGGTATAACAATTTACTGTACTCCTAAATCTATGCATGATGTTTTCCTGACATCCTGTATACCTGTTGTCTACCCATTGACGATTCTTGGGTTCAGTGTGCCTGTGGCCAGGTCTCTTAATATCACAATCGGGTATATACGTTTATACCCGCAATGAGGGGTATACATTTTTAAGATTTTTGAGGGGTAAAGGAGGGGAATAGGATGTTTCAAGACCAAGAATTTAAATTAAACTAATGTATGTATAGCATTCTGAAATGTTGAGGCCCCCTTTAGTGGTGTTATGCTGTCTTGCATTCACTACCCCAATTTTCTGACCCATCAAAAAGCCGATTAAGGGTGAATTGTTCAATTGTGAATGATGAGCACAGCCACTGTTACTGCTGCCCCTACCTGCTTCCTGTGCTCACCTATCACTGACTATCTTGAGGTTATCTTGAGATGATTTCGGGGCTTTAGTGTCCCCGGGGCCCGGTCCTCGACCAGGCCTCCACCCCCAGGAAGCAGCCCGTGACAGCTGACTAACACCTAGGTACCTATTTTACTGCTAGGTAACAGGGGCATAGGGTGAAAGAAACTCTGCCCATTGTTTCTCGCCGGCGCCTGGGATCGAACCCAGGACCACAGGATCACAAGTCCAACGTGCTGTCCGCTCGGCCGACCGACTATGGGGAGTGAAATCTAGCTCTTTACACCACCGCCTCCTAGCTGTTTATACCTGGCATGCTAATTACCCCCCCCCCTCTCGGTATTAATGTTTTTACCATATTTGTTTTTAAAGTTTTGGATGGAATTGGCTTCCTCTTCAGTGCATTTCACTTTCCTACCACCCATACACGTGGTAGGAAAATGCAATACACTTTCCTTACCTTTTATCTCTTTAACTCGATTGCATATCCAGATTCCACCAATGTCCCCTTGTTCTACCTTTTTTTTTTATTTTATTAGGGTTCCTTTATCCACATTATACATTCTACTCAAATTCCTGTACATTGTTATCATACCCTCTTTGGTTCTTATCTAGCAAATTCTGTACTTGTAGTGAGCAAGCAGACCCATGGAAATAAATACAGAGCAGTGATATACACAGTGACACATTGCAAATGTAGCTCATTTTGTTTATTTTATGTTTTCAGAAAAATTCCATAGATGACAAAATCAGATTGTCGTCTCACTGGTCTCAAGGTCCTAGACAGCGGGTTGAGTCTGGGTCTCTTACAGATGTTGGGGCCCTGGAGGAGCAACATAGAAGAGTAACCAATGGCTGTATCAGCACTAGTTCCCCTCATAGTATTTCTAGTGTGTCTTCTGCTGAGCCAGGTCACCACTTTGAGGTCTCTCACAGTCCTCTGCACGGGACAAATGGCCCCTTGTACGGTCACAGTACACCACCAGGCCAGCCTCACACTCCTCCGCCAGATGACCAGCCACTTAACCTATCAACAGAGACAACATTGTTTGCCTCGCAGCAACAGTTGATTAATAACATTGTAGATAAAATGTGTAGTGCGCCAAACTTAAATAGTGGAAGTGGTGATAATCGTTTGGACGTTCCTCGTTTCTTCCGACCGGAAAACTTGAATAATAATAATAATGAAATAGAAAAGCCTGCCTTCCACAAGGCTATTGATGCCCGGATAAATGGCATGTGTGATGTGAGTTTACTAGTTTCAAAAACTATTGATTTTGTGATTGATAGAGCGTATGATGAAGAAAAGGAAAAAAGAGAAAAATTACTAAGAGAAGATGGCAAAGGACCAGTCATGGAGACTAAAAATAACAGTTCCGGTAATGGCCCGTCACCAGGCGAACTAACAGCAACTGAGGAAGTGCAATCGGACCCGGCGAAGACTGAAGCCAAGGAAAGTGTGAGCTCTAGCAGTAACAACATCAGTAATAGTAACACAAATGGTATTTCCAATCCAAATATGCGACCAAGAAAGAGACCTAAGGAAGATAGCACAGAGGAAACTGATGCCACTCAAAAAAAGGTACTTTGGTTGATTTTTTATATAGCTTAAATTAGTTTTTGTTATTGTCTATCCTGTCAGCTTTTGCATGACAATGAAGCAAAATAAAATATTATTTAATAATGGAAATTGTGTGGTGGTGCTGATTACTGTATACAAATTTGTATTAACATTCCTCATATTTCTCCAACGTGTCCTCTTACAAATTACAGCTGAATTGGCCGTTTGCCCGTATGGCCGAAACTGGACGTAATTTAAAAATGAAAAAAAATGGAAAATAAATTTTTGATTTTTTTTTTTCCAAAACAGTAAGTTAAGGGTTCTCTGGTAGGTTAGGTGGGCAGGAAATTCTCCTAAAGTTTCAAAACGTCATGAAAAATGTTAATTGAAAGTTTCCTCTCCTAACCTTTCCGAGTAAGCCAGAGGACTCAAAACGGGAAACAGTACATCACCTTCGTGAGCCGATTTCACTTAAAATTACGGCCAGTTTTGGCCATAGTGCGCATACGAGTGAAAGGCGACGTTATTTTTAAGAGGACGGGTTGATTTCTCAACATTCCCCATTAATTTTTCAACATAAATGAAAATAAAACAAATGGAAATGTATGAACATTATTGGCCTATGTTACTTAATAAATAAAACAAACATAACTTTCTTAGTTTTCTGGCAAGTAACTTGCAATGCATAGTAAAAATTCTTACACAGCAATTATCATCTTGAGTGATTGTAGTTTGAGGCGATCTGTGGATAGTCCCCTGATAAGCTAAGCCCACACTGTACTTCCCCCCCCCCACCCCCTTTCCCTAAAAAAAATATACAAAAGTATATGTATAAAAATACAGAGCCAAAGTAACAGTGCACCTCACACTCCTACCATCAGCAAAGAACTGAAGGTGGAGCTGTTGGCTGACTCAGGCTGACTCCCTTCTCCTCCCCAAATGAGGTAGTGAGGTGGGGCAAACTAGCTCGTGCTACTTATGTGAATTTTCAATCATTTGTTTACATTGTGTGGGGGTTAGATCTTTTGTCAGTTTGGAGGCTGCAATCTCGGTGCTAACCAACAGTGTTCGAAGAGGTATATTCATTAATACATCACATTAATGTGATTTCTTTGTGCATTATTATTATTATTATTATTATGATGTTATTAATTCATATGTGCTAAAGATTTCTCTGCTTGTGTATGCTGCAAAGATATCAGGGGGACTCGCTGTGTTGTTATCCATCTTTGTTAGTATAGTCTTGTATTATGTATTACAGTATGTTTTCATTAGGTATCTAATGTAATTTGGATATTAATGCAATTTTGTTTTAAGAATATTTCAATCTCAAGTTCAGTACTGTATCTCGATAATCTCGGGATCTCGGGATCTCGGGATGATCTCAGACGTAGGTCCGAATCCTCATCACGGCCCTTGTGGATTTATTCATTTGTTCAGTACTGTACTATAAGGAAACAAGACATGTCTACCTTAGGGACCAGGAATATCTTCCTCGACTGTGGTCATACTACAGTATAAAAAATAACTTGTGTATTTATTTCTTTATTTATGGGAAATTACTATGCATTATATTTAACAAAATTTAATGAATTTGTGCATTCTTACAAAACCACTAACACTTTTCTTAATTTTCAGAGACGTGACATTTCAAGTGGACGCAACAGTCGGGCAAATTCTAGAAATGGGGTAGGGGTAGCAGGAGGTCGGTCACGGGCACCTCGAGCCTGTAAGGGGAAGATCTATGAAGAACTAATATCAGAAGGTGTCCTGCCAGCTCCACGGAGATCACGAACACGAAATAGCCGGTAGGTATTTATGCTGAGCATAGTGCATATCTTCAAGAAGTACTGTACATGTTATGTCCTCATTTCATACATTTTCTGGTGGAAGAACTGTCAACTCCCTGAAGCTATTTCACTGATTAAGTGCCATACTTTAGAGCTATGTATACGGCATACATAGACGTGATAAAGCACCTAAATTATTGGGATCGTCTAAAAGCTCTCCAAATGTACTCACTAGAAAGGAGACGAGAGAGAGGTATTTGAAAGAGAGAGTCGCTTTGGCTCTGATCTCTTGTTTTCAAGAGCTGTTTTACCTCCGAGACTGGACCGGTCGAGATGGGGGTGCATTTACCTCTTTCCCCTTGGTCCGGCTGGAGTCTTACAGGGGAAGAGTGATTTCCCCTGGCTCCTTGGTTTCAGGTGCTGCCTGCTCTGTGTCCAAACCTGGACATCTTTCCGTGGCTCCACCTCTTTCAGAAGCTCGGATGGGTGACGTACCTCACAGGTTCAACCTCTTTGCCGCGTTCTGTGTTTGGACTTTTTGACATGTGTTTATCACCATTTATATGATTATCAGGGGGTTGGTTCATTTTATTCTCTCTACCGCTCATTTTATGGTGACCCCTTTGGAATATGATTGTTTTTGGAAGGCATTGTTTTTGCTTTCCTTAACCTTCAGTTGTTAGGTGGGTGGGCTTCATACTCTGCTCCAGTGCCGGGGAGCAAATTCTGGCTCTTGTTCCTTGGTAGGCCAATAGAACTCCACAACTGATAACACCTAGTCTTAATGCACTTAACCAGTGTAATAACTTTCAGGGAGCCTCCGAGGGCTCACTCAGAAACTGGCGTTTCATTACATTCAACACTGGTTTTATGGGAAACTAATTCTTAAATGAAATACTGTACATGTATTTCCTAATACATTTTATGTCAAACATAACGTACTTTGCTTTGGTTCTGAGCATTAATGTCCCCATGGCCTAGTCTCTGACCCAGCCTTCTGGTCAACCAACCTGTTAGACACAGCTTCTCGCAACCTTATGTATGAATGCCTAAAGCTTATACCTCCTGTTAAATGAATTGATGATAGACTAGTAAATATAGTACATTCAAGTGAATTTGAGGGTAGGGGAAGAAAACCAAAAAGATTGGTGGACATTGTGAGTTGAGTGTGTGAGAAGGGATTGAATGTGAAGAGCCTCATGAGAGGTGGTAGGAAACAAGGAGGAAGCGGGCGATGAGTCACAATAACGTGGCTGAAGAATGTTGACCAGACCACACACTAGAAGGTGAAGGGACGACGACGTTTCAGTCCGTCCTGGACCATTCTCAAGTCGATTGTCGTGGTCCGTCCTGGACCATTCTCAAGTTGATTGTCGTGGTCTGTCCTGGACCATTCTCACAATCGACTTGAGAATGGTCCAGGACGAACCAAAACATCGTCGTCCCTTCACCTTCTAGTGTTTGGTCTGGTCAAGGAGGAAGCGGTTAATGAGTGGTTACTTTGTAGTTATCTTGTGTTGGCTTCAGGGATCAATGTCCCCATTGCCTCAAGGAGCCTTACATGCCTAGTTTGTAAAGTGGTGGGGTGCAGCTGTGAAAAATTTGATGCTGTTTAATCCATGTAGATGACATTTAATATGTAGGAAAGGTAAATGAATGACATGTCCCTTTTAAAGTTTACCTTTTCTGCTTTCTTATCTTTGAGCTAATCCCTCTGCCCCACGAGAGCAGGAGACGGCACTGATGATATGTCTGCCTGTCGTGCAGTAAATTTCATATTTCTATTGACTTGATTTACCTCATGATATGTGGAATGAGTTATGAATAAAGGATTGGTAATTTAACATTTATTTGTTTATAGATGGGAAGAAGTAGAGTCGAGCACAGTCCAGGAACAGGAAAATGGAGAACAGCAAGAGCAGAGGCAAAAACAGCAGCAAGAGGAGGAGAATGAGGAGGAGCACACGGAAGAGGATGATGCCGTACACCCCAAACCTCCCGAAGAAGAAAATGGGTATGTTCCAACAGTATGATTTTTTTTTTTTTTTTTTTTAGATATATACAAGAGTTGTTACATTCTTGTACAGCCACTAGTACGCGTAGCGTTTCGGGCAAGTCCTTAATCCTATGGTCCCTGGAATACGATCCCCTGCCGCGAAGAATCGTTTTTTCATCCAAGTACACATTTTACTGTTGTGTTAAACAGAGGCTACAGTTAAGGAATTGCGCCCAGTAAATCCTCCCCGGCCAGGATACGAACCCATGACATAGCGCTCGCGGAACGCCAGGCGAGTGTCTTACCACTACACCACGGAGACTGCAATAGCAGCTCTTGCAGGAGGGTTAGATAGATCCTGTGTGTGCACATACCTAATGATAATGTGGACTATAGTGATACTTTTCAAATTCTGGGGCGAAGAGATTCTTTGTGCCAGAGTGCCCAAATCTCAGTTAGCATCCCAAGTCTGTATTTTAGGTGATAGTGTCATTTAGTGAATATGAGATGCTATGATGCTTATACTGGCATACAATGAGGAAAGCATCCTTAGGACCTTAGACAAGTTGCCATGTCTGCGGCGCGCATTTGTCTGTGATTGCCACCTTATGACATTCCTATCTCTATTCTGCCGGTTTAATCACAATCCAGTTGTGTGTTTCCTTGGAGGGTCTTAGAAGGGAAAATAATTATAAGCAAAAATTGTGTAGCCATTATGACCATATAGCGAACTAGAAGGGGTACTGTACCTGGCTGCATCCAGTTCTCTCTTATATCTCTTTTTTTTCCCTATTCCCCTCTCCACCTTTCTCCCCATCCTTCAATTTCTTCAAACATCGCCCCGCACTTTGCAAGTGATTTGGCCTGGGTTTGTATCCTGGCTGGGAAGGATTGACAAGGCGTCAATCCTTAACTGTAGCCTCAGTTTGCCTAGCAGTGAATGGGTACCGGGTTGTTAAAGAATTTGGCAGGTCGTATTCCAGGGAAAATTCAGATTAAGGACGTAGCTGAAATGCTTTGCATGCTAGTGGCTTTACAAAAATGTAAGAACTCTAGTATATACAAATAAAATAAAAAAAAACCTTCCCCCCTCAATCACATTGCATGCTCACCATGAGTGAGCATCAGTGTTCCTTTATCATTGTGGTTAACTCTCATGGCTCTGGAGTCCTTTAACCCCTTGCATCCTCTGGTTGTTGAAATACAAAATACTGGCTGTTTTTATTCTCTAGCAGATTTAAATGACAAATTTTGCTTGGTTCCCAGTCATATTAGAGTTACATCGAATGAACTTGTAGACACCGCCACTAAAGAGGCCATTCATACGTGTCCCATCTCCTGCAAAGGGATTCCTTATTTGGATATATACCCAGTCTTTTATTTTGCAGTCTATGGCCATTGCAAGGTTGTTGGTATGGCATTACAAGTAAACTGTGCACTCTTCAAGGTGACCTATACCCATGGCCTTCCTCCTACCACTGTAAGAAATGGTGGGAAATGGCTCTGGTTAAACACGTCACCCATATACAGTACTTACACAAGGGACACTAATAAAGCAGTGGCCAGTTCCTTATTATCTGAACTGCATTCTTCCACTTAGTTAAACTACATAATGTCCAAATTTTCAGGATGACCATACATTTCGACCAGACCACACACTAGAAATTGAAGGGACGACGATGTTTCGGTCCGTCCTGGACCATTCTCAAGTCGATTGTCACGACTTGAGACAATCGACTTGAGAATGGTCCAGGACGGACCGAAACGTCGTCGTCCCTTCAATTTCTAGTGTGTGGTCTGGTCAACATACTTCAGCCACGTTATTGTGACTCGTCGCCTGCACCATACATTTCTTTTTATATTGTCTCTGGGTTGCTTGTCCCTCAATAGAATCCTTAGTTAATCTGATGCTGTTAATGTTGCTTATGTCTTTTTGTTCTTGTATTTTCACCTCTTGAAAATCCTGTTACAGCTAGTGCTACGTAGTCTCCCTGGCTTGTCGCCTTCCTTTGATAATTACTTACCTACTGTTCATTATGTTCAAATTAATACACACACACTTATTATGTTACTTCTCATCTCTTGCACAGGGATTCAGGAGTTCGGAGACAAGAGGATGTAGGAAGGAAGGGTCGACGACAACTGCGCCGGCTTCACCCAGAGTAAGGCCATTGGAGAATTATTTTAGATGATATTTACAATGCAAATGGTAAATTGAATAAATTAAACTTAATAAAAATTATGTTGTTTGGTATTTTAGGTTAATACTTACTATAGTACCATGTATTTACATTTACTTTTATCAACAGTGACTTTAATTTAGAGGCCAGGATTGAGGCCCTGCCATCTCTGAGTTTGGACGAGTTCACTCGTCGCAAGAAAGAGCGGAAACGTACATCTTCAGCATCTTCATCTACTCATGTTACTAGCCACTCCAATTCAAACTCCTTTCAAACACCAACTGCTGCACGTGAGTTGTAGATCTTAATTTCACAAGTGGACATTAATGAAATTAATCATAGGGTCTTTAGTTTTGTTTAATATAAAATTTTAGACTTTAAAACATTAACTAACTATTATTCTGTTCATCAAAAGTCTAGTGTTTCATCCAAGGCATGGCATAGAACCGTTACTTAAAAACTCAAATATAATTTGTATTGTTTTCAGAGCCCACAGTAGGTGTAGTGAGCAGCAGCAGTCGTGTTTCAGCACAGGCAGACTCCACCTCCGACTCCTCAATACCTACATCAGCCACCTCAACATCTGCTACTGCTACAACAAGTGGAACTGCTACAACAGGGGGAGTGAGTAGTAGCAGTAACAGTGGAAGTGCTGGAGGCAATGTGTCAGATGGAGAGCCTGCTGCTTCCCCAACGCCTTCTTCCTCATCATCTTCATCTATCAACACCCAACAACACAGTCCTCAGGGTCCTATTCTTGTTAGTGGAGGATCTGTATCCCCAGGAGAAGGACTGGTTGCAAGCTCTGATGGTGGTCCTCTTATTGGTTCACAGAAAAGGAAAGCTCGTAAACAGACTATAACAAGACACGATCCTGTTCATGGTCCTCTCCGTAGAGGTAAGTTTATTTCTTGATCCTTTGGGTGTGCATTCCATCGGGTGATGTAGTTAATTATGCTCATCCCATCGGGGAAAGTATTAGGATAAAACTCCCACGGGTACTCAGGGCTCCAGTAAACCAGCCTCTTAGACGATGTGCAAAATGATTCATATTCAGGATTTACTGATCAGGATGCTGATCACAATAGCAACACTATGCCTAGAGTTAGCGATAGACGTGTTATATTGGAGGCATTATGGCACGTGAGGTGGCGGGCGTCTTGTCAGTTGACTTGCGTGCTGATGGTATGCTGTGTGTGTGTGGGTCTATCAGACCACCTTAGTACAGTACTTTGTTACAATGCACAGAAATAGAATTACACTCCATATACAATATAAGAACTGCAAAAGCCCTGACTTCTTGTTCCAAGAATATAGTCTTGTCACTAATATATGCACCATATTTTGAGTATAGCGCTGCTCTACACATTTTATATAAATTTATCTAATTATACACTATTGCTATCAGCATCTGGATATTATTATTAATCATGAATTAATTAGTGACGTACATAGTATATCGTAACACATTCTGCTTCATCATATCGAGTCATTTGCTGGGATGATTTAGTGGTAGTGTTTTGTGCTGTCCTTGGGTTATGATCATATCTACAAAACTGGCTTAGTGGTTTGTAATTGTGCATGAAAATGTAGATATATATTTTCTTATATATATATATATTATATATATAAAAATGTCGTACCTAGTAGCCAGAACTCACTTCTCAGCCTACTATGCATGGCCCGATTTGCCTAACAAGCCAAGTTTTCCTGAATTAATATATTTTCTCTAAATTTTTTCTTATGAAATGATAAAGCTACCCATTTCATAATGTATGAGGTCAATTTTTGTTCATTGAGTTAAAATTAACGTAGATATATGACCGAACCTAACCAACCCTACCTAACCTAACCTATCTCTATAGGTTAGGTTGGGTTAAGTAGCCGAAAAAGTTAGGTTAGGTTAGGTTAGGTAGTCGAAAAACAATTAATTCATGAAAACTTGGCTTATTAGGCAAATCGGGACTTGCATAGTAGGCTGAGAAGTGCGTTCTGGCTACTAGGTACGACATATATATATATATATATATATATATATATATATATATATATATATATATATATATATATATATATATATATATATATATATACATTGTTACAATGTAATACCAGTAAAAACAAAGTTTCATTGTTCAACGCAAATAGTACTGTATGTATCTTAGTGACATGAACATACCCTGTATGTGTGTACCTTTGACTTGACGACATGAGTGACATTTTGCACAGGACCATGTAATAATTATTATAAAAAAAATAAAGAAAACTTAAGTTTGTCAATGACAAATCTCTCCAACTTTTTAAATATATTTAAACAGTAATTTTTCAGCTTAAGGTACCAGTGTATTATCCCGAGAAGTATCAAACTTTACAGTTTTGAAAGATGTCTGGTCTGTCTTTACAGTTTTGAAAGATGTCTGGTCTGTGTGCGAGACTGGGGAGTAAACGTAGTGAAAAGTTTGAGAGAGAGTGACCAGCTCGCTATTTCTCCATCTAATTTGTCATTTAGAAGTTTTACAGCAAATTTTGTATTGATCTTTGCAGATACAAGCGTGGTTGAGCAGAGTGTGTTGACCAGCATGGGTTTGGCTGCCCTGGCAGAAGTGGCACTCAGTCAGCCAATCATGAAACTCTGAACAGAATTAGGTGGCAAAAAAAAAAAACAGAAAAAAGTTTAAAGTATGCTAAAGGTACGTATTGTTAGTATATTGAAGTATACTGGCACAAGTTAAGTCACTTCTTTTAGTCGTTATTTATACGTACATATTTGCAATAGTCATTGCAACCCGATATTCCCCTCCCCAAAAAATCATTTACAGACTGCTAAAAATGTTAAAACATGTCTTTTTTCAATCTACAAATAATTACATAATTATACATCCTGTGTTGAACATTAGATTTTCAAAATATCTAGTTGAATGCATATTTTCAAACCAAAATTGTACTGTATCACTAAATCCTGAAATGTAATTATTTTTCTTTAATTCTTATTGGAGAAAATCATCTTTAACACGATCTGTGACTAAACTTACTGTTGGCTGTGGAGAAGCAAATAGCGTACTGCAGTTGACAGACATGAGAGTTTATGCTGCCTTATTGGCTGTTAAATTTGTCAATATCTATGACCTGTTGAGCTAACGTGCTTTATTAATTTTGACATTTGTGTATGCATAACGAGAGTACCTCGACTCCTGTGACAGCTACAGGATTAAAATGTTACGAGAATTATATATATAATATATAATTTAAGCAGTATTTAGACGGAAAGTGATTATTGTGCTCAAGATGCAGGGTGAGTTGAACAATGTGTGTGATGGTGTCTGTGATTTGTAATACAGTATCTTTTTAATACTTGGTCTTTCTATAGTGAGATTATCTTCTTACATGACCAAATTCTTAAGCCCTTTTAGTTAAGAAAATTACAAATTATTGTAGAAATTAGTACAATTGATAGCTTTTTTTTATTCATCAAGCAACGATTTTAATATCAGTGAGTTGGAAAAACAAGTGCTTCAGTGTTGTCAGATCTTTCACCGTGAACTAAGTCATGAATCTCTTTCGAAAGTGCTTGGGTAATTAATCCACAAAATTTATTTTAACGTAATAAACTGGCTGGCGAGAGAAATGAGAGTTCTGCATAATACCTCAGAGGCAGGTTTGGTTTGAAGCTTACAACCCTATTTTGACAAATACACAAGCCTTTTTATAGATTTTGAACCATTTTCAGGTTTATGATTAAGGGAACATTACGTACTATGTAAAGATCTAAATATAATTTTGGTAATTAGTATGTCGATAAACCATACTAGAAGACATTTGATGTCAACTTAAGATCTCCCTATCTCCTCAACTACTGCCTTTTTCCTTGAAATTGTTAGTCCACATGGCCCGTGGCCACCGAGTATCATAGTCAGGTGCCAGTGTAAATTAATTGTGCACTACACCTCAGAGGTAGCCTGTGTATTCAGAGATTATTTGATTTCTTGTCTCAAACAATTTTTTGGGTTACAGCCTGTTAGATACGTTGTTTACCATATCTATTTGTTTTAAAGCGATTATATTATTTTTAGCACATGTTCAGAACATTATCATTTCTTTAGTTTGCCAACATTAGGTGTTCTATTGTGGATAGTCAGTGTGATAAATATATTAATATAATGTTGATTTAAATGTGGGACAATTTCCACCACCAATTACTGTAGTGATGAGTCAGCTTATTGTAACAGGTAGATACACACACAACACACATTAAGTGTCACCAACTGTTGAGGATAAAAAGTAATACAAAGCCCGTACCTGATTCTTGGGGAAAATGTTTTATCTGTTGAGACCTTTTAGTTATGATGTTTCAGGTGCAAAAATTGTTGATTTTTACATCATAATGTAGAAGAAAAATGAGGGCTTCAGTGCAATGTTTACCCACTGATTAAGCCTCTTATTTTAGTGTTCATAGCCTTTACTAATATGTACATCCACTTTCACTTAAGTGCACTTGCCAGAAAGTAAGACCTAATAAAAGTGGCTCGAACTGACATTTCTCCACTAAAAAAAATATTTTATAAAATTTCAGTTTGAACAAGTTCATAATGTTATTAGGACTAACTTTTTAATAAGAAGCACCTTTGATAATGGTTGTGCAAGGAGTAAAATTTACCTTACTTAGTTTGTTGTAGTCTGTTATTGATATTTGTGACACAATGAGCGATTTAGAACCTGCTCAGGTACTTCAATAAGGTCTAGATTGCTTATGTTGTGAACATTAAAGCAAGCCTTACAGATAGCCTGGATCTTTGGATCAAAGTCGCTGATCTCGTCACGTATAATTCATTAGAGTAACTCATTTGGGAAAGACAAGCGTGCATTTATATGTATAATATTGTAATATAAAGAAGAGTAAAAAAAATTCCCTATATATGCAGATATATATGAATGATAATGTTAATAAATCTATTTATTCTAAACTATAATTACTTTTCTACTGTTTAATATTCCTTATTAAATCCTTTACCTTAAAATACAATTGTTTGCAGAAAATGGGTCACGAGGTATAGTGATGAGTGCCTGCAACTGTTAAGCTACATTCAGTGGGAATGTTGTGCTGAAACTTATTAATATGAAAGTGATTCTACAGTCACATTATTTACAAATTACAATAAGCATACCAGAGTGGAATGTTAGTCGTGAGATACAATGCTCTATGTAGGCGAGGAGTCACAATAACGTGGCTAAAGTATGCTGACCAGACCACACACTAGAAGGTGAAGGGACGAAATGTCGTCGTCCCTTCACCTTCTAGTGTGTGGTCTGGGCTACAATGCTCTAGTCTTACAATAAATGTTAAGGTTGAACAAAAACTAGTGGAAACTTTTGTTAGATTTTTTCTTCTCCAGGAAATGAATTATAAAAATCAAACTGTGAAAACTAAAATTAAGCATTCTTTTTTTTTATGCCACGAGTACAGGTAATAGTGAGAAGTGTGGCACACAGCTGGAACAGCACAGTAACCAACATTCTAATAATAGCTTTAATGCAAATATTAGCCATTTATGACAAATCTGGGCCCACCAACATGTACAATTTACATATCTTCCTTATTCCTAAAACTGAAATGAATTTCTGAAATAGTGTGTGTGTGTAATTCAAGACACATCATTAGTTAAAAATATTTACTAAGTAAATTGGAGCATTGCCTTAAAAGGCCAACCTAAACACCAAATGGTCTCCTGACCTTCCAGTAAAAGATCCTCGACAGGATCTCTTACCGACCGTGAGCCTAGATCTCATTTTAAATTTTGACAAAACTCAATCCAACAACTAATACAAGTGATTTTTATAAGAATGTCCCTTTTGTGTTACGAATATAATAAAATCAATGTTACAAATATCTTTTTGTAATGCATCTGAAGAGCATCTAAACATTTCCCTACAAAAGACAAATACTGTAGTATTACATCTTGTCAATTTCACATTCAGGTTCAGTATTTCCATAAACATTTTCAGGCAGAAAAACATAAGTACTGTAGCTTATATTGCCACAAAATATGTATGAAAAAATAGGAAGAAGCACGAGATTAAGATCCACAGAATTAATGGAAATTGCTATTTGCATTAACAGTAACAACGTAACATAAATCACTGAGGTACAGCATGACAAACTTTCCTTCTAGATAGAGAACAAGGTTGAATGCCAGCAGTGCTGCGCTCCGGTGGCAGACTTCTACTCCAGCTCCACTAATGCCTCTACCTGATAGAAATGAGGCCAGACTGCAGCAGCTTTTGGATCTTGGAAGCAATATCAGGATTCTTCAGATGGCTGTAAATGTAACAAACAATTAAAACCTATCAATATCTGAACTTCCCCACCATTAATGGGGTGGCCACAAATTCCCTAAGTACTTAAATACAACTGAAGGAACTTCTACAACATTTATATTCTGTATACAGTGCTCCATACAAAAATCCAGCCCTCCATACAAGCTTCTAAATAACAGATCGAATCCATCCCCTGCAAACACACAACGTATCGGTCCCTACGATTCCCTTGTTACAACTTATAACAAGATGTAACAACTTTATTACAACTTGTTATATTAGTTGTTAAAATTGTTAGGCGTTAAGCCTTGTTCAAACTTTGTAGTTTTGTCGTGTGTTTGGCAGGTCAACTGGATTTTCCATACGAATGTGGTTTATACAATTTTTTTTATAACGAAACCCACATTTTTGAGGGCCTCGGTGCCTCATTGTAACTAGCCATTGAGATAGCTCCACATGAGCCTAGGAATTCTTAATGTTCTGTCCAGAAACTAGAGCCAGGGACCTGGCTGTCTCACAGAGCAGGGAACTGTCAAGATCACCATCACCAATGAAATGCAGAAAGGAAACAAAGCAAAACTTACAACTGCAAGGTTCACAGAAAAAAGTGAAACTAAGCAGAAAATGATTAACAATCCACCCAGTATATAGGTCAATCCCTAGTTACAGCAGGCCACCACTAGTCAGCAGCACCCGAGAGCTGCCGACTGCCCATGTCAATCATCAGTCCAGAGCCTAAGAAAAACAAACTGACGTACCTGCAAGGAAAGGCGGATAACGGAGCAACAGAAACCCCACTCAGAGGAATATTAATACATTCAATGTTGATTTTCTTAAAGACTTGAACAGTGTCTCCCTATAGCTAACACCAGAGCACAGTAAACTGGGACTTACCAGGGAGGAGTGAGGATCAAACTGTCAAAGAGAAACCAGGATGGGAACTCCTATCCAGAGTAACAAGTCCAATGGGGACCAGGGACAGTGAATAGATAATTAGGGAACCCTGTTAGATCTCAGACCCCCCCCCCACCCAAGCCCTGATATCAGTCCAAGACTAGAAAATACAGTACCATGTCAGATATAAACTTTCAATCATCTAGACTTCAGGCAGGCAAGATTTAAAGACACAGCATGTGTCTTTAGATAAGCGAGATAAATGAGCCTTGGAACAGGTGATCAAAGAGATGGGGTCAATGAATAATGCAGCCCCCCCCCCTTTCCAGTGAAGTCCCATAGGTAGCACAGGCAGCAATGAAACGCTGTAATCGGACAAAGCAAATGATGAATCTCCAACTGCCAACCATCTCTTTCTCAGGCTCTTTCTGGCAGAAAAGGTTGAAGATAAAGAAACAACTTACCAGGACTAAAAGAAACAAAAACCCCCATTTCCCGGGAGGAAAAAAATGCACCCTAATTCGACAAGTGGAAGTGAGAACTAACAAAATTAAAGCCTTGAGAAAGATATCCTAAACCAAGGGAGCCGGTCGGCCGAGCGGACAGCACGCTGGACTTATGGTCCTGTGGTCCTGGGTTCGATCCCAGGCGCCGGCGAGAAATAATGGGCAGAGTTTCTTTCACCCTATGCCCCTGTTACCTAGCAGTAAAATAGGTACCTGGGTGTTAGTCAGCTGTCACGGGCTGCTTCCTGGGGGTGGAGGCCTGGTCGAGGACCGGGCCGCGGGGACACTAAAGAAGCCCCGAAATCATCTCAAGATAACCTCAAGATGGGGGCAACTGAGAATGAAGCAAAGAAAATGAACAACCTATCCAGAGATAGCTAATGAGATCGTGCAGACAAGAGGTGAGGAAGCAAATAAGACAACTTATGGAAGTGTGTTAACATATCACAGCTGAAAGTCAACAAGTGCTGCTCCATCAAGGTCAAATGAGAAAGAGGTGACAGTATTAGGCATAAGATTCCAACCAACATGCAACCAAAACAAAAAGGGCAAAACCATTAGAACCAAGACATATGCCAAATATTGGAGACAAAAAGATGAAAGGAGCACCAAGCATCTTCATACTGCCATCGCAACAACACAGATGGAATACCAAATATCACCTGCAAATAATGATAGATCACTGTCAAAATCCAGACACAAAGATTAGAGGAGAAACTAACCGAGGATTATCTCCAGAATGGTTTGCTGAAAAAGGCGAAACCATGTAAAAATGCCCTGGTTCAGACGAGCCAGGAACTAAGGTTGAGTAGGCCATCAAGGAGCTATTAACACTTTCGCGCTCTCCGCAAAGGTCACTCAGCCAACCGAATGTGCGCGCTGCGTTTTTATCGCTTAAGCGTAAAAACAAAAATGTGTATACTCTTTTTACTCTCCTGACCTTAGTTCTCATGCTACGTATTTCATTTTGGCACCAACGTGTTTGCAATAAAATTCTCTAGAAGAACATTAGTAAAATAAGTCACGAAACATATAGGGATACCAGCACCAAATAAATAACTACGTAGATGACTCGCCGTGAGCGCCCATCAGCAACAAAATGTTTTTACTCTTGGGATTATAATCACCTCCACACTTGTTCTACAGCGTTAATTTTGGTATCAATGGACTCGCAATGAAATTCCCAACACGGTGATATGAATATAAGCGTTGAATATTGATGCAGCCCGCCCGCAAGAGTGTGGGAAGTGGTGAAATTGTTACCCGGTATCGGTGACGGGACGACGCACAGCGCTTTGAAAGTTTATACTTATTTCACTCTCATGACATTAATTTTCTATGTACGTCATTCATTTTCATGTCAATGTATTCGCAATAGAATGTTCTATGTGCCCATAGGTAAAAAATATCAACAAAGCGTAAGTTAGAATAGCGACAAATATAAAACAACGCTGGAACATATCAGTGAGCGTCAAACACACACGAAATATTTTTACTTTTGTTATGTTTGTCAAGATTATACTTGTTGCACACAGTTATTTTTGGTTGTATATTGATCGGAATAAAATTCCCTAAACAGACATATGCATATAATACATGATATGGGGGAAGAATTACCAGTATAAACGGCTAAAGTCACCCACCTGCAACCCGTTTGGGACAAAATACCATTTGATCGACGTTATCCACACCTTTCATGAACTTATTGTACCATGCAGCCTAGTGGTGAGAAAGAGAGCCTCATAGCGCGCAGTTTGAAACAAACCCAAAGTAAATCGGATAAAAATTGAATTTTATACAAATATTTTAAAAGTTGACATAACTTTATGTCCACTATGCGTTTACGTTAGACGAAACCGAACGCGCCGGCGCGTCCAGATAGCGCGAAAGTGTTAAGGGTATGATGCAAATATGGATGTTTACCTTGACCCATTAAAATACAGTATCTGTTACCTTTTCATGATACGAATGTGGTTATTCCCAAGAATGTTACTATGGGAATGTGATCGTCACATGATGATTTAAACAATTACTGTCTGGGCTTTACATGCATGATGCAAATATGGATATAACGACTGTTGATGTAAATAAAGAGAAAAAAGTGATAAAACAACCAGTGAAACATCCGAGGATAAAACCGGAAGCGTCGGTAAAGTCAAGCACGAGGCGTTGATAAGTGCCAGACACAACTGTGAGGGTTAAGAAGCTAAGAAAGGACCGAGCAACAACAAGAATTTGAAAGACTTAAACCTACATCACTGGTTCCAAATCTGCACATAGAAATATCACACCGAACCAGGAGGCACGACCGGATGTGCATTAGATACGCAGAGAGAGAGAGATTTATCAACATCAAAGACTCGAGATTTATCAACATCAAAGACTCAAGATTTTCAACAAACTCTTGCTACACATAAGGGGCATAACTGGCCAGCCTCTCACAGTGTTCAAGAGAGAATTTGATAAACACCTCCAAAGGATACCTGATCAACTAGGCTGTGATTCATATGGCAGGCTGCAAGCAGCCACATCCAACAGGCTGGATGATCAGATCACCAACCAGGAGCTTAGAGACCAGGCCACGGGGACATTGGCCCCACTCGGGAAACAACACAAGGTAACCGCAGGGCAAAGTTATCACTATCAGAATTTAGGTGCGACTCAACATCACCCCTTACATGTTTGGCTATTTAAATGCTCCTGACAGTTAGGACTTCATATCTGAGAAGGATTAAGATGTTGAAACTGTCTTTTTCTTTAATATGTGGTAAGTTAATTATCAAGATTAAGTGCTAAGCCTGTACAACTATATAGCATTTTGGAGGACTGCAAGGATAAGAATTTGGGATAGGATGAAGGGAGGGGAATGGTGCCCAACCACTTGGAGGGTCCAGCATTGAATTCTGGCAGCAAGAAGCAAGACTGCCGCTCTACCATCCAGTTCAACTCGCTGGGCTCTAATACTACATGTGGATTTTTAATTAAATTATGAAGTCTACATCTTTCAGATGGACACAGGCTAAATTGTTTAGATATAATTATATTTTACTGTACATCCATGCACCTTAGAAACATTCTATTATTTCCTCTTACATTCCTAGAATTGTCAAAACTACTGTACAGTAATGGAATACTTACTCCTGTAAAGCTCGGGGGTCAGTCTGCATCTGCTCCAGGATCATGCGCATAGCTGGGTCCTTAAGGATTTGCTGCACTTCTGGGTCCGACATGGCTCTTTTTCGCACCTAAACACAATTGATTCAAGTTAATAATAATGAATATTTGTCTAATAATTAAGGCAAAGATTTTTCTCGTTTTGGCTCAGTCAAGCAAACCATATTTTAATCCAGTATTTAAAAACATTCTACAAACGTTTAGTTCGGTAACTCACTTCCTCTGGGTCACTGTTAACTGCCATCATACATTCACGGAAACCGTCCAGAGCATCTTGACAGTTTGAATCAATATCAAGAGCTCTTTGATAAGCATCCTGCGCCTTGGCATACTGTTTTAAACCTTGATGGATTTTGCCCTTGCGAATATGACCTTTAACTGAAAGGAAAAAACTGTGATAGTGGTACATGTATTAATGGATTAGATGTATGGTTACGCAAATAGCACATTACTAGTAAGTGTCAACAGTGGGATGAATGTGCTCGCCTATACGTAGAGAAAACCTAGCTCTTAGTTCCATCTGTATAGCTATTATATCTAGTACGTTCATACCTCTCTGCTCGCTGTATTTCCTAAGCTTGTCACAGCTCTGCTGTCCTCTGGCACCACACAGAGTATACTTCTGCACTTCTGAAACTTTTCTCATGTTTACCTATCACTGACTATGAGGGAAGAAAGATCTAGAGCTTCATGCCCCACCAATTACCCATATCAATATTAACATTGTCACTTCTGTTGTTGTGGGTGGAATTGGCTTCAACAATCCTTCCTTCAGTGCATTCCACTTTCCTACCACCGGTACAGGGAATGAGAACTTCCTTACATCCCAGACTCTATTGCATACCTAGCTTCCACTGATGTCCCCTCGTTCTGCCTCTTTTTTCTTTAATTTAAATATCTTTCCTTTATCAACTTTATCTTTTACCTATATCAAAATTATCTTTTAAATAAAAAAAGTTTGTCCTCTCAATATCTTCAACAATCTTTTTTTATTATTATTACTGTACTGGTATTTATGCAGTAGATGCACCACGGGAGATGTACGTCATGTTATTTCTGTAATTTTGGACATCCCATCTATTCTCCTTCCTTGAATAAGTCACTACAGTTAGTCTTCCAGATTTCTTGGCCTACCCCGTTCTTATCTTTAGATGACTTCAGGGCTTAGCATCCCTGTGGCCCAGTCCTCGACCAGGCCTTTTTGTTACACATCCCCAGGAAGTGGCCCTTACAGCTGTCTAACTCCCAGGTACCCATTTATTGCTAGGTAACAGGGGCACCAGGGTAAAAGAAACTCTGCCCATTTTGTTTCCGCCTCCACCGGGAATCGAACCCGGAACCTCAGGACTACAAACCTGAAACGATGTCCACTCAGTTGTCAGGCCCTTCGCCAATACTCTGCCATATTTGCCAGACCTCCAGGCTTCTGAAATTTCCTTGCCTTTTACGTGATATCTCCATTTCCTCTTATCCTGATGCCCTGGTCTTTTACCAATGCTTTTCTTATATAACTGCAATCCCCAAAATTGAATATTTGCCAAATCCTATATGACTGTTCATGAGACTGCCATTCCCTCCATAGTAACAAGTTCATCTTTGAACATACTGTAATATAATTGACATTGCCATATCTTGTGAAGTAATGTACATTCTGTTCACACTAAAATATTAAGAAATTACAATACTGACTTAATTTTGTCCTTATTTTGTAATTTATTTATTTAATAATTTTTCTGAAACCTCTACAAATTACTTTGAATAAAAAAAGAAGATTAAAATGTCTTCTTTCAGTAATATGACATATTGACCCACAAAAAGATTAGTGATTACATCACTTACTGCAACAAGTAATGCAAAGATATTTACCAAAGTCTGGCTCCAGTCTGATGCACTCATCACAGTCCTTAAGCCCCAGGTTAAACTCTGCCAGTTTAGTGTAGCAAGCAGCTCGGTTGCTGTATATTTTGGCATCTTCGGGATTGCGGCGGATGGCTTCAGAGTAATGTTTGATTGCTGAAGGGTAGTCACCCTTCCTGAAGAACTCGTTGCCTTTCTCCTTCTCCTCCTCAGACTTTGCAGGATCAATGTAAGCCAGTCGTTCCTGTTCTTTTATCACCTTTTCAAGCTGTTTACATGAAACTATTAGAACACAATCTTTGAAATACATGGAAGTCATGGAAATACAGCCATGACTTGTGCTCGTCACACTTCATATAGGTTAAACCTTTACAAAATTGAATGCAAAAGTGATTAGCACACTCCTTGTTTTGTTGCCGAATAGTCCTCTTCTCATAGCGAGTTTCACCAAAGAAGAGTTTCACCATGAGAAGAGGTAAGAAGAGGGCTATTCACATGCCTCTATTTATATATAAAAAAAAAGGGGCAAAATGCTACACAAGAACTTTGAAGACTAACAAGGAACAATCTCTAAGGATCTTAGGAAATCAAGAAAAAATGTATCCATCTTTCTCCCTCAGATGAAAAGTTAAAAGTCCTTTCTCTGTAGCATTCACCCCCACACCAACACACTGCTGCTAAATCTCCAAAGAATTAATGTGATGTACTAACAGTGTGTGGTACCATAATTATATCACCGAGTTTGAACTTTATTTTATTATTTTTCCTCCAGAATATATCCCCACATGTACCATTGATTCTGATGAATAAACGGTTAAATTTACACCCTTTCAATTTAACTCCCAATTTCCAGGAATGCATCCCATATATATAAATATAATATATGAAAAGTCACAAGACACACTGAGCACCAGGGGCCAGTCACGAAGCAGTTATGCAAGTACTTACGAACCTGTACATCTTTTCTCAATTTTTGGCGGCTTTATTTACCATTATTAAACAGTTAATGAACTCTGAAGCACCAGGAGGCTGTTTATAACAACAGTTGATTGGGAAGTTTTCATACTTGTAAACTGTTTAATAAATGTAACCAAAGCCTTTAAAGATTGAGGAAAGATGTACACGTTCGTAAGTGCTTGCGTAACTGCTTCGTGAATACGGGTTCTGGTCTTATAGTGTTGGCTGCTACTGTGGATGACTACTGGAGTCTAGTGGCATTTATTCATCAATGATGCTATATTATTTACTGTAGTATAAGCAATAAATAAAAAAGTTGTTTCTACCTTTAATACCATCAACCTTCTTTCACTAGACTAGCATCATTTCCCTTTGCACTGATGCCTCCCTATCCATTCAAAATAAGAAACAAGGTAGTGAGCACAACCAATGAAAATGTATTTTGCTTACCTTACTCAGTAACTCTTTAGTTTCAGGTGTGCGATGCTCCGATAGAGACTTTTCATAGAAATTCTTAGCCTTGCCATAATCCTGTAAAAGAGAATGATAAAGTACAGATCCAATACCCACATGATGTATGGATATAATGTTTATAATTTCAGTACAAGTTTCAGCATTTGTAACCGACAACCAAACATCCATGGCCAGAAAAAAACATTTTACTATTCAACATAATATAACATGAGCCTAACCTTACCTTAAGTGCCTTATAAGCATTACCAGTCCTAGTAAAAGCCTTTGCTATAAGTTTGAAGTCTGCTCTATTTTCTCTCCCAACTTCAACAGCCTTCTCACAGATGGCAATACACTGCTGGTAATCCTGCATCTCGTAATACACGGCTGAAAATAAATTTCCTCTAATAAAGTCCATGCCAGTCCTCAATCAAGACCGCTCCTCCCAGCATACTATGCACATCACTAATTCTCACCACAATGCCGCTATTATCAGAATCCTGGTCACTAAATCCCGTTAATTAAATTAATGATTAATTTTCCACACGTTTATTTTGTAAAGGAATATGGAAAGTCGCTTCAAGATTCTTAGATGGACCAAACAATGGCAGTGTGCTGTGGCCACCTGCCTAGCATTGAACATCTTGAACAGCATTGTGTTCATTGATATCTGAATATTGTACCCAGTCTAACCGTTAGGCTCTTCTGTAATACTATCATTGCTAAATAATAGCAGTTACTGTACATATATTTTGACATTTTTAAGAGATGCTATGGTCACAAGCTGAACAGCAGTGCTGTTAGCTTGTACTGCATGTGCCAGCTTTGGTTGCTCACTCAGTACAGAGCAAGACCTTCACACCTGTTAATGGTACCCAGTGCCATTTTTTTTTAAATGGCGTCTTTTTACTGGAACCCTGAGGAGGCCGATATGAACACTGTGGCTATGGGACTTAAATCTCATGCAGTACTTTTAAACATACATACATACATACATATATGTATATATATATATAATATACACCGTGTAGGGAGGCAAGAGCAAAATCATATATATACAATTTGTGCCTTTTAAGGGCACCATCGTATATACAATCAATCGTCTAGACATCCAAGACAACCCTGACCATGCAAGAGCAGTACTTGAGGAGCGCACAGAGAAGAAAAACCCTGAACACGTGCAGCTCCAAGCACACTAACTCCTGGCTCTCGCTACACCAACATGTATAAGAACAGCCTCAAGGAAAAAACACTTGAAAAATGAGACAGGAGCCAAAAGTGACTAGAACGAGCAACCAGGCACACATCAGAATAAGAACTGGTGGTGGGGCAGCCCGACTCCTTCCCCCAAACGAGGGAAAGGAGGTGGGGTAAACTAGCACGCACTAGTTTTCATGAATTTTTGAGAATTTGTTTACATTGTTGGGGGAATTCTTTTAGTAGTTTTGAGGCTGTCGTCTTGTTTCTAACTATACAGTAATTAATTTCATTTTGCCGACTTATTGGCTGGTGGCAGATACGAATACTTTAACTTTAAATGTAAGGTGTCTCCGTGCCCATTGTCTCTGAGGGGGGACAGGTCCTGGCTCATGGTCTCCGTAGGCAAATAAAAACTCCCACAGATGGGAGTTTTTATTGGCCCAGTAGAATGGTATGAAATCAATGTACTGTAATAACTTGAAGGAGCCACTAGGGCCTGTCTCCAGAACAAAGTCTGACTTCAACATCTCTTTACAATCTTTTGTGACAACATTTTTCAATCCTTTTTACTAATTGGATAAAACTAGTATTCAACAGCAAGGGTTCATATACATTCTGACAGCAAAATTTGTTATTTGACAGTCCAACCAAATATATCAATCTACTGGAAAGGGTTGACCAGACCACACACTAGAAGGTGAAGGGACGATGACGTTTCGGTCCATCCTGGACCATTCTCAAGTCGATTGACTTGGGAATGGTCCAGGACGGACCGAAACGTCGTCGTCCCTTCACCTTCTAGTGTGTGGTCTGGTCAACATACTTTAGCCACGTTATTGTGACTCATCGCCTGCATACTGGAAAGGGAGTATACATTTGATACTAGATGCTGCCAAGGCAGCATTTAGGCCTTAAGTCTACAAAACTGAAGCAAGGAAGCTATACACTGTACAAAGAGGCAGTAATCTTACCAGCTTTGTTGTTAAGGAATGTCATATCAGAAGGGTCAAGCTCAACAGCTTTCTCATAATGCTGCAGAGCAGTTTGGAAATCTTTCTTTTTGTACGCAGCATTTCCTGCTTCTTTCTCCTTAAGAGCCTGGAAATAAATAATAAATACAAAATTACACACACAATGTGAAATTAAATGAAAGTGTCAACACTTTGGTGTGTCTTGGACCTTCATAAAGTCATGACAAGGAAGAGTAGGAGTGTCAAAAATGGCATAGAAACATTTTTAGTTTAACAATAAAATCAGTCAATTATGATAAAATCATCTAAATTATGCCAGGAGCAATTACTGTACGAGTGCTTTTATCCAAAGCCCACTAATCTGAATATTTGGGTTATCAGGCAAAAATCGCAGCTGGATAACCCGGATATGGCAAATTTTTGTGGCAAAACTTCACCATATCCAAATAGCAATTCAGATAACCGGATATTTTGTGGGATGCTGCAGACAGGCATCCGATCATAACGAACTGATTCCTTACAACAGTGGCTCGAGGTGCGGGGTATTGAAGGTGTTGGGGTAGGGAGTGTCGAAAGAAGGGAGAGTTGAAAAACTGTCTAGGGAATGAGGGGCCAATGACCTGAATTATATAGAATAACCAAGAATTATGTTAGAACAATTCATTACAATAAAAATTAAAGAAACATTATCTAATATCATAACAAATGCAGATGTGTTAAAAACTATGTGTAAATGCTGATGATTGTAGTTTCCTGCTAAAAAAGTGGCAATTTTTCCACCAGACTCAAAAGTAATATGAAATTCTATTATTCGCAGAGAGAATTGCACATTCATACTACGAAGGAGAGAACAAGTGCAGCTGATTCTGAGGGCAGGGGGGTAGGCATACGGGCGCATGGAGTGTGGCCCTGGCTTGTCGTACATGGCCACTAAATTCCACTTTGCATCTAACCCTGTCTTAACATTTCTTGTCATTTCGACAACAAAATCTACAGGAGAGAATGTAGAGAGAGATCTGATAAACTCTTAATAGATACTTGCACAGGTGCACTTTTATCATGACAACCCAGACAAATGTATAAACTCCGCGGGGCTCGCTTGCCCTTGAAGACATACGGGTACGATGCTGCAAACAACAGTAATACACAAAGAAACCCACAAGCTCTCGTCGTAATGTCTTTGACAATCTTCAGGGCTTAACTTTGTAATTGGATACTGTATCTAAATACAGCATTGCTTCCTAACTAATATTAGTGCACTATTACAATTAAAACCATGATCCAACACTGCACAGTGTGCTACCAGATACAGTAATGTATTCTTGACAAGATGCACATTGCATTTTTCTTACAAGGAAACCTATCAAAATACAGACCTAAAATCACAAACTAAAGAACATGAAGCATTAACTATTTATGCGAGCCTTAAAGAGGCAACAACTGCATATCTGGATGATACTGTATTTCTGCACCAGCTGCTCTTCACTATAAGCAGCCGAAGGCATTTTATCGTACTTTTAACTGTTCAGGAGTCTTGTCTACATCCATTTTCTCCTGCTTAGGTGGAGGTGTGGGCGTTTTCTTGCGAGGTGGAGTAGGATCCAGCTCGTCGTCGTCATCGCTAGCATCCATTCCCATTAGTACACTTAATGTTGTCAATATTCTTTTGTCATTTAACTTTGTACTGAAATGGAAACCATTATAAATTAATTATATAATTACCTAGACTAAAGCTATAGGATTTTAATAATTTAATTAGAACATGTTCAGAAGTGATATATATTGCACAGTGAAAACATGCTCTCTTATTGCTGTAAGTACACACACCGTAAATAATTTACACATGCATTTATAATATACAGTACAAGGAATCTTATCATCCTTTACCCCTTTTCTCATATTGATAGCATGAGTGGCTCCTGGCAAGGACAATCAAGAATACTCAAAGAAAGAATGAAAAAATGAAGATGACAAAGATGACAATTATGAGGTAGAGAGAAAATACAATGCAACCCATTCTTGCCTACCACCATTCATAGCAAGAATCCTAATGAAACTATGGCATTCTGGTTACAAGAATAGCTAATACTGTACAAGATAATATGAACAAAATCTAGCTTCTCCCGAGTTGAGTTTCCCCTTCCACTTTCCACTTAAGTTGACCAGACAGCCAAGCGGACAGCACTTTGGATTCGTAGTCCCGAGGTTCCTGGTTCGATGCCTGGTGGAGGTGGAAACAATTGGGCAGTTTCTTGTTAACCCTGAAGCCCGTTACTTAGCTGTAAATAGGTACCTGGGAGTTAGACAGCTGCTACGGACTGCTTCCTGGAGGTGTGTAACAAAAAGGAGGCCTGGTTGAGGACCAGGCCGCGGGGACGCTAAGCCCTGAAAGCATCACAAGATGACCTCAAGATAACCTTCCCTAACCAAATATGAAACTTGAACTTACACTACCAAAATTAAACTTGAAAGAGAATATTAAAATGTTAAGTCTGCAGACACAAACATTGCTCTCTTCCGTCATGTTAGGGTCTAATCACCCTATAGATTGTTCTTCCAAAATAATCTTTCTTGCCTCGACTCTTCACAGATGCAGTCTTGTCGAATTGGCTCCGATAAATGCCCAAAATGAACCCTAGTCCTGGCTTTGTTGCTGCCAACTCTTCCCTTTCGCCTATCATACTTATCATAATGGTCCAGGATGGAGGGAAACGGTTTCAAAATTTTCTGATGGAGTTTGGTCATTATAAGAGAACCTCTTTACCTGAAGGAAGTGTGTTACGAGAACCTCTTCCTCCACCCAATATCAAGAGGATATTGGGTGGAGGAAGATGTCAAGTATGATAATGTCGAGATAATACAAACTACTTTAACAGCTAACTAAACACCAGCAACAAAGCATATTTTACAGAGAAAGAAGAGAAAAATAAAATGGAAAATGAAAACAAAACTTACCCAAGAACCTGAGGATTTATTATAAGCTCTGCCATTGTTTTAGCGAATTCTGGATCCTTCATGAATTCTTTAGTACGAGGATCGTCTTTGATGCGCTGCAAGCAACTTGGGTCAGAGAATGGGTTCAGCATCCTGCCTCCACCTTGTAGCAGCAACTGTCCACCATATCAATTGCAATGTTAATACATAACTTCATCTACATCTTCATAAAAATAAATATTACTAAAAATTTCAATCAAACTAGATTTCTTTTATTCATTACCTCGGCATTAAAGTTGGCAATGACACTATTATTCGTTTATATTTATACATAATAAAATCCCTCCAGGCAGCTCCCCATTCGAGTTAGCCACATCGGAAATTTTCCCACATGGCACCACTACCTTGTAAACCTTTCAGTCAAGCTCTCGATTCCTACCCTCCATGACTCAAATTATTCCAAGATACAGGTCACCCACCTACCTTGAGGTTACCTTGAGGTGCTTCCGGGGCTTAGCGTCCCCACGGCCCGGTCGTCGACCAGGCCTCCTGGTTGCTGGACTGATCAACCATCAACCTATCAGTTCATTTACTTCAACCTTGTATATCCTTCCCATTAAATGATCCTCGGAAGTCTTACCAAGACATCCATGTCAACTAAGTGCATCGCTCATCACCCACACTTATATTTCATTCCCTCACTGGTTTCCACGGGTTAACATGCTCATTACTATACCCATACCATACAAACACCAGCTCTTACTAAAAGTGCTAATTTTCACAGTGTATTCTTGAGCACTGACCCTTCACAGACCCCAAGTTTTATTGCCTTATGTCAAGCTGTGAATGCTTTGTTGACCAGACCACACACTAGAAGGTGAAGGGACGACAACGTTTTGGTCCGTCCTGGACCATTCTCAGACCACACACTAGAAGGTGAAGGGACGACAACGTTTTGGTCCGTCCTGGACCATTCTCAATCAACTTGAGAATGGTCCAGGATGGACTGAAATGTCGTCGTCCCTTCACCTTCTAGCGAGTCGTCTGGTCAACATACTTTAGCCACGTTATTGTGACTCATCGCCCGCATGTGAATGCTTTATTATCTCAGATTTTTAAGTCACATTCTAATAATCTTCTCTCTACTTATGCAGTATTTGTCTCGATCACTTTTGCCACTTGCCATTCTTCCCCCCTACTCAACCAGCCTTACTTCTATTTCAAAACCTTTTAATATCTATCCTATCTTGTTCTTATCCTACAGTTCAAATGGAACTTGCCCTCTATAAAGATATACAAAACCCACAACCAAGTTGAAAAGCAGAGGTACAATGGGTATGTTGAGACATTTCTATCAATATTAAGTGCCCAAGACTTTTTAGCACTCTCCCTCTAAACATAAGGGGCTTAACTAGATCATCTCGGTGTTTAAGAGCGAGAATTTGATGAACTCCTCCAAAGGATACTCAATCAACGGGGCTGTGGTTCACACCCCAGACTGCAAGCAGCTGCACCTAACAATCTGGTTGACCAGACCACCAACCAGGAGGCCTGGTCAGAGATTGGCCTGTGGGGGTCATTTGATCCCCAGAAGAACCAGCAGGTATCCCCAGTCCCCTCACCCAATACCTGTATTCTTACTCTATCTTTACATTGACATTGATCTATCATCTATTGTACACATGAACTCATTCTCAATAACTTGCAATTTCTCAAACTCTTAGCACAAAAAATTAAACGGGTGTCCCCCCTACCACACACACACAGTTGTCAACAACAAATTTCGTCACAATAAGACCGTACTAATGTTTTGGTCTTTATGGCAAATTAATTCAAAATATACATTAAATAGCCAATGAGACAATACACAACCCTATGCTACAACCTCAACATTAAACCCCTCTCGTATTTATCCCCCCCCCCTCAGCTGTTCATAATAGCATGTTACTGCTATTAATAAACTCCCTTCAACCCTACAGATCGAAGATTTTCAACCTTTTTTATTTTTTTAACTCTTGGCACACTGAATAAGGGGCCGAAATTGTCAAAACACCATTTTTTCAACGAGAAACTTTATGTACAATATATAAAAACAGCTATCAAGACTGGGTTTAAAAATTTAATAGCTAAAATTCTAATCTTAGTATTTTTTAAATGTTGATCATGGATTCCAAAAAGATTGATTATTAAAATTAATGCTCATATTTCTTACTATTCCTGTTATTTTTTGTATCTTCCCTCAAACTCCTGTGGCACATCTGTGGATCCTTTGCGGCACACTGGTTAAAAACCGCTGCTACAGATCTCAATTCCACAAAAAGCAGTTTTCCATGTTCATGGCCCACCACTGAGGGAAGTGGGTTCAATCCCTGAGCATGAAAGAAATGGTTGGCCATGTCACAAATTGCTTCCTGGGGCCAGATTCACGAAGCAGTTCCGCAAGCACTTACGAACCTGTACATCTTTTCTCAATCTTTGGCGGCTTTGTTTACAATTATTAAACAGTTGACGAGCTCCGAAGCACCAGGAGGCTGTTTATAACAATAACAACAGTTGATTGGCAAGTTTTCATGCTTGTAAACTGTTTATTAAATGTAACCAAAGCTGTCAAAGAGTGAGGAAAGATGTACACATTCGTAAGTGCTTGCGTAACTGCTTCGTGAATCTGGCCCCTGGGCCAGAAAGGTTAATAGGTTAAGGTCATAGGTTAAGCATAGACCTACTCTTACAAACTCCACAATCAAGACACCTCATATCTGATGAACAAATCCACAAGGATTGTGATGCGTTACATATTTTTGTGTTACATTGTTCATTTGGTATCTGTGTTCGCAATAGAATACTCTAAAGGGATATATACATCTCTCTTGCATTCAGATTTAGCAATTTCAACACGCTCCATCTGGTACTGTATCTTGTAACTATTCATTTACGAAGAGGCATAAATGTTTATGTAAAAATGCACAACTGACTTCTGCTACCAATGTGCATTATAAATCATACCATAAATTTAATAATGTTTAGTCAAAGAATGCTCCACGTAAAATGCAGGGTTACACTCCTAAAGCTCTGCCCACTTACGAGGCGTAATCTAAATTAATGTGATGCAGAAGTTAAAAACAATTTCAGGAAATTGTAAGAGTTATCAGTACAGTACATGAAGTTAAAATGAGTGCACAACACACTAATGTATCATCTAATCATGAAAGTGTTAACATTTGTACTCACTTTTTCTCTGCAGTCTGCCAGTCCATCTTTAAGCTGCTGATTATTTGGATCTAACTGAAGACCTTTTTGATAAGTACTTAAAGCTTCAGTTAATTTATTTAAATAGACCAGTGCAGCTGCCTTTCGTGAATAGCCCTACAAGACACAGGTATAATTAGAACAGTATTCACCATATTATGTATACAGGTGTACTATATACACATCAAACAATACCTTTTCAAAGCTATAAAATGTGAAAATACACACAAGCTCAGGACAAATTAAATAAACTACATTAATACAGTAATATTTACATTTTCAAGTCTAAAATAAAAGGCAATTATTGGCAATTAAATAAAAGGCAAGTTGACAGTTGAACAAATTATGGCTAACAGTACTCATGTTAAAGAGTAAATATTAAAGCAAAAATTGAACTTGAGATTGGTACTTCCATCAAACGTTGCTACAAGACAACCTGAATAATGTCAAGATCCAAGAGAAAAAAAAGAATCAAGTGAAATGAAATGCAATTTCTTGGATGGGACTATGGCTCCCTGAAGGAAGTTTGCCGTGGTAGCTCCATACAAGTCTCATCAGCCTTAGACCAGCCTTACTGGCATACTGGGACCAGTAAGGACCACCGGGACCCAGAACCTGCTCCCTCTGTGAGGGCGGGGGGGGGGGGGGGAGCCCTCACAGAGGCTGACGAGTTCAACGATACCGTACCGGGTTGATACGTATATGATGCCGATATATAATTTCAACTTCTCATTTCAGTAGGTGGCATCTCATGATTCTGGGATTCTACATCCTTTATGGATACCTTTTGTGAAACTGATCCAAGTGTCAGTGAGAATCCTTTTATATCTTTTAGGATAAAAGAGGGAAGGCAATGATGGGTATCTTCATTACCTCATTTTTTATCAAACAGATGATTAAGAAGCTAATGCAGTTCGGTATAGTCATGTTGATAATAGCAAATACAGTACATACAATTTTTAATAACAAGTGCTAACAATTATATCAAACAAAACTAATTGGAGCAATTAGGGGACACAAACCAGGAATCTGGGTACGCCCAGCTGCGTACCTTACTGATAATTGATACATTTGATGCTACAAGTATTAATTAGTATTATGTGTCAATGATATTAATACCACACTTACAACCAAACAGTATTAACCGAGTTACACTTTACCTTCGGCCAGTCAGGTTTGTAAAGCAAAACTTTGTCAGCATCATCAAGTGCTTCTTTGTACTTCTTCAATTTAGCATAAGCAGCAGATCTGAATTTGGATTAAAATAAAGATGGTATGGAATTAAAGCGAAACAGAAATAACATTTAAAATGCAACATTTTTACAAAAATTTCATAAAACGCTAAATACTTCCCAAAAAAACGTGGAAATTGTCTACTAACCTGTTGCTATAAAGGACGTGATTCTCGGGGTCAAGTTTAATTGCATCTGTATAATGCAAAACTGCTTCACTCAGATTTCCTGCTTCCATGCAGGAATTCCCACGCTCCTTTAACTTTGCTACCTAGAGGGAAAAAATTATTCTAGAATAATGTTCATCTCATACACCAACTATTTTTAATTACAGATTCTCATCAGTATACAGGGACCTGTAATTACCCAAGTGTAGTTACAGGATGAGAGCTACGCTCGTGGTGTCCCGTCTACCCAGCACTGTCATCTAACGCTTTATATAACAACAAATACCGTTTGTCATATAACTGTCATATAATGCTGTGCAAATACTAAGGGACAGTCTTAAATAACTGATGATCTAGTTGCTAACCAATCTCTAAAAATATTTAGAGAATTGCAGCTGGCAATTTTGGTACATATTATACCATTGTATACCTGTCCCACTCAAATGACAATTAACTCAAAGAGAACATTTCAAGGGCTTTTATTTTCTCAATATTATCAACAGCTATTATGACGGTTACTAGATACACATTCTCCACTTCCCCAGTACTTGAAACATTGGTACTCTAGGAAAGCTCTCGTCCAAACTCCTACACATTGGCCAAATCTCTAAAACAATTTTTACTAAATCCCAGCATAGCTTTATTACACACAGATCACACTAACGTGATGCATCAAATGATGAATAGCTTTCTTTGAACACTTGCACCTTATTACATTTTCTAATTAACTATTGTTCAAAAGGTTTTTACTGCCAAAGAATACAAGTCATAAAAAATTCACACCTAGCTTTAAATCTCTTCAAATGTTAAAGAAACCTTACAACTATTATAGTTTTTCTGGATCCTATTTTAGATCTAACATTTAGTTCACTCTTCTAAATTAATGAAATGCATGGAATCCTTCTACAAAATTAAGCCACATTATCAGCAATGTCATAGCAGTTACAGCTTCATTCCTGCGCCAGTAAGTCCACTACGGGCTCACCATAGCCCGTGCTGCTTTAAATTTTTGTTCCTAGTAGCTGAATCTAAAAACTAGATCATGTTAGTTTATGATCATGTTAGATCATAATATAACATCAGCAATGTTTTGAGACCTCAAAATATTCACCATACATCCTAAAAATTTATTAACAAGTCTCACTGTCACATGTGTGTGATGTGAAAAAAAAAGTAGTTAGTAAACAGTTGATTGACAGTTGAGAGGCGGGCCAAAAGAGCAAAGCTCAACCCCCGCAAACACAACTAGGTGAATATGTGTTAAAAGTTAAATCTACACAACCTAAAATGCTCTTGTGAATATTTGCATTCCGTTACAAATACACAACACTTCTGATGGAATAATCTAAAATTTGTTTTGCAAAATAATAATCCTCATGCTGTCTGTACCAGTTTAATGAGTCATTGTGACACACAGGTCAATGGGCTATGCACAACACCCCACATAGTCATACTTCAACATACTACTTACCCATGCATTGTAAACTTTATTGCTGACGACGAAGCTGAGACGGCCACAGTAATGCCATAATACCCATTACTTAACACTGCTTCATGATGACACCAAGTCATAGAAGTGTACATCTAATGGATACAAAAGTTGTGTACATAAGGCATATCAACTAGAGAGAAGCCATCTTAAGATGTCTGAAACGTGTGAACAAGAGCTTGTGAGTTCATACCACTGAACGCCGTAAAATACGAATACTTTATATATTTGTCTGGGCTGCTAAGGTTACATCAACACAGGAGACTGAACAAACATTTTGTTTTCCAAAAAATGGCCACCACATTTGCACTAATATAGCCAACTAATTAGTTTGCAATAAACCTATAACGTTAGCATTCAAAGGCGGTAAATAGCTTTTAGCATTAGATCAATGCAGTAAACAGCAGTTTCTAAATTACACCATCACAACTCAGCCCACAGAACCACCAGCTGCAGCTTGCCTATATGTATAACCTAGTTAAATTCAACTACTTAATTTTATTGTATTTTAATTTATTTTACTTATACAATAAGCCACCTTGGGTTGAGAGAGCATATTACATTGGTGTTTGAGTTACATTCTTGCAAAACCTCTAACACACACACAGCATTTCGAGAGCTTTATTGAAACATTTCTGATGGACTTATCCTAGTCTGATGTCCAATTTCATCTAGCAGTAAAGAGTTACATGGGAGTTGGTACACTTGTGCAAGGTAATTGACAATTTGAAGCCATTTCACAGTTTGTGTGATTAAATATCCCACAAATATATTGAACCTTAAATCTAACAAAATTGACAGTAATATTTACAGGCCATTTTTTCACCAAAATGTAGTTTTAAAAGAATTTATTTGCATCATTATGTAAATTATGTACATTCTGAATATATATAGTGGGTTAGGTATTAAATTTGAGTATAAATTCTCTCCAATACCAAGTTAGCAATAAACATCTCCAGGCAACAATCATTAGGCCTACTACTACCAGCCTCACACAGGCCTATTAAAACCCCACTAAACCAGTCCAAAACACACTAAATATAACACCAGTCATAAATGATGTACATAAAAGTGAACATAACAGCATCTGCGCGAGTGACGAAGTAAATAAAACAACTCAAAAAGATGTTTTGTTCTACTCAAAAAGGTGTATAGGGGCGGCGCGGCCATAGCCGGAGACCGATGGAGACGCTGGAGGCCTATTAAATATCTCCGTCCAGCCTACCTGGGCAGCGTTGTCGGCCATGACGGAGGGTGAAGGAGGCTGAGGTGATGGTGGTGATGGTGAGAGGAGGTGTGCGGCGGTGGGCGAGCAGGAGCAGTGTGGCAGGCAGTCAGGAGCTCCACCTCGTGTACTGATGGAAGCCTCCAGAACCACAACAACAACACTGAGAGACTACGGGCCTCCTCATATATCATTATCCATCATCTCCTCCCTATTACCCTCACACCTAACTTCCCTAACCATACTCACAAATTATAAAATCAACATATACATCCTAAGCTATATCAAATAGCTGATATTGATACATTTTATAGGTGGCTGGACTAAAATATTTCTGAGGCCTTGAAGACAAATGACGATCGCGAGGTTAAGCTATAACTTTCTGGTATATTCTTCCCTTTCCACCTAACTCAACACTCTTCTAGAAAGCTAACAATACCACATCAAATATTTACAGTTGCAAGAGGTTTTAATTGGAAAATATATTGTCTTAAATATATATTGCTTACATACCTGCATTAAACTTCCCTAGTCATTGCCAAATCGAGCTAGTTTAGTTCATTTATTATGCACCCCATACCCATCACATGGGCGGTGGCAGAGTTGCCAGTTCCAAATTGCTGAAAGTAGCGAGCTGACGGTCTAAAAGTAGCGAATTTGTAGCAGGAGTAGCCCAATTTTTTGTTTAGTGACTGATACGGGTTTCAAAGTAATACATTTTGATATATAGAGTACACTACACGATGTTAATTGTTTTATTAATATTATTTCTGCACACACACATATATAATATATTTAATATATATATTTATTTTAACCTAAAAGGGGTACCACCTCTGGTGCAAGTGTAGGGACCCATAGCCTCGGAGAAGAAAATAAAGAGTACCCGGAGAAGACCTTGTGGATCCTCACTGAACACTTTGATATTTTCTTCTCCTACCACCCCTATTCTTTTAGTATGTGTGTATATATTTTGTAACCGGAGCCCAACCAGTTGTGTAACCGAAGCTCGACCAGTTGTGTAACCTTAAGCCTAGCAAGTATACATCTCATCCAACCCCCACCAAGCTAAACAGTCCCAAAGCACAACCAAACTCCATTCCTAGCTCAACCAAACAAAAAACTCATTAGCCCTACCTAAAACCCTCCACTTGCCCTAGACACCAACTAAATTGACCCATAGCAAACAATTGAACTATATATAAAAAAAGAAACCTGAATTTCTGGCAAACATATAAACATAGAGCCTTAGCAAACAAACCTGGAGTACTAGTACACAAACAACCACTGGAGCACAACCATGTACGAACCGGAGCACAACCATGTACGAACCGGAGCACAACCATGTACGAACCGGAGCACAACCATGTACGAACCGGAGCACAACCATGTACGAACCGGAGCACAACCATGTACAAACTGGAGCACAACCATGTACGACCCAAAGCCCAACAAGTCACAGCCCTGGTGTTATGTAATCGGAACCCGACAAGTTGTGAAATCAGAGCCCGACCAGTTGTCTAACCGCAAACCTAGCATGAACGAATCAAACAAACAACCTTTGGATCACAACCATGCACGAACAAAAGCCCGACCATGCACAACCCAAAGCCCAAGTGACACCCCCGGAGCCCGACCAGTTATTTAACCGGAGCCCGACCAGTTATTTAACCGGAGCCCGACCAGTTATTTAACCGGAGCCCAACCAGTTGTGTAACCGGAGCCCGACCAGTTATTTAACCAGAGCCCGACCAGTTATTTAACCGGAGCCCGACCAGTTGTGTAACCGAAGCTTGACCAGTTGTGTAACCGGACCCCGACCAGTTGTGTAACCATAAGCCTAGCAAGTACAGTATACATCTCATCCAACCCTCACAAAGCTAAACAGTCCCAGAGCACAACCAAACTCCATTCCTAGCTCGACCAAACAAAAATCTCCTTAGCCCTACCTAAAACCCTCCACTTGCCCTAGACACCAACTCATGAGCCATAGCAAACAATTGAACTATATGCAAAAAAAGAAACCCAGATTTCTGGCAAACATATAAACATAGAGCCTTAGCAAACAAACCTGGAGCACTAGTACACAAACAACCGCTGAAGGACAACCATGCACGAACCGAAGCCCGACCATGCACAACCCATAGCCCAAGTGACACCCCCGGAGCCCGACCAGTTATTTAACCGGAGCCCGACCAGTTATTTAACCGGAGCCCGACCAGTTATTTAACCGGAGCCCGACCAGTTATTTAACCGGAGCCCGACCAGTTGTGTAACCGAAGCTTGACCAGTTGTGCAACCAGACCCCGACCAGTTGTGTAACCGTAAGCCTAGCAAGTGTACATCTCATCCAACCCCCACCAAGCTAAACAGTCCCAAAGCACAACCAAACTCCATTCCTAGCTCCACCAAACAAAAATTTTCTTAGCCCTACCTAAAACACTCCACTTGCCCTAGACACCAACTATGGAGCCATATCAAACAATTGAACTATATACAAAAAAACTAATTTCTAGCAAACATAAACATAGAGCCCTTGCAAACAAACCTGGAGTACTAGTACACAAACAACCACTGGAGCACAACCATGTACGAACCGGAGCACAACCATGTACGAACCGGAGCACAACCATGTACGAACAGGAGCACAACCATGCAAAACCCAAAGCCCAACAAGTCACACCCCTGGTGTTATGTAATCGGAACCCGACAAGTTGTGAAATCGGAGCTCGACCAGTTGTCTAACCGCAAGCCTAGCAAGAACGAACCAAACAACCTCTAGATCACATCCATGCACGAACGGAAGCCCGACCATGCACAACCCAAAGCCCAAGTGACACCCCCGGAGCCCGACCAGTTATTTAACCGGAGCCCGACCAGTTATTTAACCGGAGCCCGACCAGTTATTTAACCGGAGCCCAACCAGTTGTGTAACCGGAGCCCGACCAGTTATTTAACCAGAGCCCGACCAGTTATTTAACCGGAGCCCGACCAGTTGTGTAACCGAAGCTTGACCAGTTGTGTAACCGGACCCCGACCAGTTGTGTAACCATAAGCCTAGCAAGTACAGTATACATCTCATCCAACCCTCACAAAGCTAAACAGTCCCAGAGCACAACCAAACTCCATTCCTAGCTCGACCAAACAAAAATCTCCTTAGCCCTACCTAAAACCCTCCACTTGCCCTAGACACCAACTCATGAGCCATAGCAAACAATTGAACTATATACAAAAAAAGAAACCCAGATTTCTGGCAAACATATAAACATAGAGCCTTAGCAAACAAACCTGGAGCACTAGTACACAAACAACCGCTGAAGGACAACCATGCACGAACCGAAGCCCGACCATGCACAACCCATAGCCCAAGTGACACCCCCGGAGCCCGACCAGTTATTTAACCGGAGCCCGACCAGTTATTTAACCGGAGCCCGACCAGTTATTTAACCGGAGCCCGACCAGTTATTTAACCGGAGCCCGACCAGTTGTGTAACCGTAAGCCTAGCAAGTATACGTCTCATCCAACCCCAACAAAGCTAAACAGTCCCAGAGCACAACCAAACTCCATTCCTAGCTCGACCAAACAAAAAATTATCTTAGCCCTACCTAAAACACTCCACTTGCCCTAGAAACCAACTATGGAGCCATATCAAACAATCGAACTATATACAAAAAGTGACACCCCCGGAGCCCGACCAGTTATTTAACCGGAGCCCGACCAGTTGTGTAACCGGAGCCCGACCAGTTGTGTAACCGCACGCCTAGGTCTACTTAGATTGTAGCTGGTGCGCCCCCACATGAATTATTGCATCCAGGCATGGAGGCATCTTCAGAAAGACACAGCTGCTCTGGAGCCATGTCTTACCAGAGCTATGTCTTACGACAATCATACCCGAGCTTAGTCATCTGTTATATCAGGAACGGTTGAGGGCCACAGGGCTAACAACACCACAAACCAGGCATGACAGGGCGGTCTTCATAGAAACCTTTAAAATACTAAACAATTTGGAGAATGTCGACCAGGACAATGTCTTCAAAAGGTCAGATGTTACACGAACAAGGAGCAACGGGTTCACACTCAACAAGCCAGAATGCTTTTTCACCCACAGGGTTGTAAACCAGTGGAACCGCCTACCCGCCGAAGCAGTAACCGCCAATTAAACCTCTGCTGGAAAAGATCATTAGGACAAATGGGGGGGACCTTTGACAAGCTGCCGGCTTGCTGCCGTCATCGAGGCAACTAGTGTTAGTGGCCCTCAGGTAAATTCAGCTCCCGGAGGAGTGTCCCCGCTCCTTCCTGTTGAGAAGTTGTTCATCTATTGTAGTATCATACTATCATGCAAGAGGAGCCACACATCTATGGATCATCCAATAATATCAGCAGACTTCTAGATATTACTACTGCTCGGCTTAGACTCGGTTACAAGTATCTCTGGGAATTCTCATTATCTGCTGATGTAGACCTGACCAAATGTAAACTGTGTATCAAGATTGTAACTTGCTTAGCTAAATGAGATCGTATTCCAGGGACCTGCCCGAAACGCTACGCGTACTAGTGGTTGTACAAGAATGTAACAACTCTTGTATACATCCCCCACCCAAGAAATAAATTAAATAAACAAATAAATAAATAAATAAATAAATAAATACAAAATGTGGGGTTCAGTCCCTGAGCCCATTATGTGCCTCTGTAATAACCCTTTCCATTACCACCTACAAGATGGGTATGGGGTGCATAATAAATGAACTAAACTAAACTATTGCAGTATTTGTACATTGGACTGTCACTTGTCACTAAACTTAGTTGTTAACTATTAACGTGATGAAATAATATTACCTTATACGCGAGAATAATTCTGAATACACAGCGATAAAATTGACGAATGCGGCTTTGGGTCGGGCGGCCGCGTACGGTAGCCTGGCCTGAGGACAGGCAACTGTAAATGCTTCACCCTCCATATACTTCAAGTGCAAATAATTGCCAACAGAACCTAAATACCGAACCTACTATACGCCTAATTATAGAATATAAAATTAGTTTATACACGATAAAAACTATTTTTAATACACAGTACATGAAAGTAGATTATAAATGCGTCTTGGGATGTGGGGGAGACGACCGCCGCGTTAACGAGCCTATAGCCTGGCGACGGGGTAGTTTAACAATAGGG